TTGGACAACTTAGAATGGTGCATAGCAATGTAGGATGGGATTAATGCTCTCATTAGATGCAGAACTTGGCAATTGGTACCCTCTTCTAAAGAACATGAAAGCTATAGGTTGTAAGTGAATTTTTAGAATAAAAAGAAACCTAGATGACTCTATTTCTAAATACAAGCCACTTTTAGTTGCCCAAGGTTTTAATCAAAAAGAGGAAATTTACTATAGTAAAACTTTTAGTTCTCTAGTCAAACCTGTCACTATACATGTTATACCCCTATTACTTTAACTAAGAGCTAGTTTATTAGACAAATAGACATTAAAAATTCCTTCTTGAATGGACCTCTCAAATAAAAAGTTTATATGAGACAGTCTCCAAGCTTCAAGAACAAAAATTCTGATCTAGTTCGTAAGTTACAAAAGGCTATCTATGGGCTAAAACAAGCTCAAAGAGCTTGGTTTGCAAAATTGGCCTCTACTCTAATCTCTTTTTGTTTAATTCTTATAAAGTGTGATAATTTACTGTTTATATATACAACTAATTGTTGTTTTTACTACTTATTTTTTTATATATGTAAATGACATACTAATTACAAGTAGCTCACCTAACCTGATATAACACATTATTCAAAGATTGAGCAATCTGTTTCCACTGAAAGACATGGAAAAGTTACATTATTTCCTTAGCATACAAGCAAAGGAAATAAAAGATGATAAGCTTCTTCTAAATTGGACTAAATACATAAGTGACTTACTAAAGAAAGTTCACATACAAGAAAATAAACCAATTAAGACACCATTAGCTCCAAATTGCAAGTTCACAATGGATGACACAACTGTTTTTCATGATCCTACTTTGTACAAAAGCATTATTGGAGCAATGCAATATGAACAATAACAAGATCAAATGTCTACTATGTAGTAAACAAATTATGTTAATACATGCATGCCTTTAAAAGAACACTGGAAGACTGCAAAGAAAGTACTCAGATACTTGAATAATACACAGGATCATGGGCTTCTATTCCCAACATCATATAACTTGTACATCACTGGTTACTCAGATGCAGATTGAGCATCTGATCGAATTGATATGAGATCAACCATAAGATATTGTGTGTACATTGGCAAAAACTTAGTCTCATGGATTGCCAAAAAGCAATATATTGTCAGCAGGTTCATCACAGAAGTAGAATTACGAGCTCTTGCAACAGTTGTAGCAGAAATTGGATGACGTCACAAGAAATCCTATCTTACATTCAAAGTCTAAACATTTTGAGTTAGACTTATGGTTTGTGAGAGAAAAAGTGGCACAAGGAGACATCATAGTCAGCCACATACTCTTACACTTTAGGACCAAGGCATTATTGAGTGGTATATTACTAAGTCTAAGACCAAAACTTAATGTTTATTTTGCAAAGACATTGGTTTTAAGGGAGGGTGAAAGAACTATAGTTGTCACTTAAATTATAATTTCCATTTTAATCTCTTTTTAAATAAGTTGGTTACACGGTTAGATATTTAGAAAATTAGTTACCTCTTATAACAAACAGGATTAACCAACTAGGTCTATAGATTCTTCTAGTGATCCCTTTTGATTTGAGATATGAATATACACAAAAATTCAATTTTTTCTCATCTTTTTCCCACATAATGTTCTCTTACAAAAGTATTTTTAATCTTTATTGTAGAACTCGCATAGTCGTAGGTCATTTACATTGCAAAACATGTCTAAGTTGTTTTGGAAGACCGTTGAGTGTTCAAGCGTTTCCAAATCCATCCAACTTTCTGAGTGTTGGGGGTACCTATGCTGATAGGTGCATCTTCTCTGTTTCTTCTTGCCTATATGGTGGTTCCACGCCCATTTCATTATCCTTTCCCTTTTACTTTTTCATTAACCAGCGTCGTATCTCTTGGCGTGTCATTGGGACATCATTCTCAACTTGAGACCTAGTGTTTAGCAAGGCATTGCAGCATTGTTGTTCCAGGTTGAGTGGCTGCGCTTGCAACCTCGCTATGACCTCCATTAAGTATCATTGATCAACGACGAAGGAGTAAAGTACAACTAAAGGCACAATGGCCATGGGTGTGTATTCTTGCAGTTCCTTAGGAGGAAGTACAAACTTCGTTATTGATATCCCCAAACCTAGTAGAAGGTTCAATTTTGGTATTTGATCGAACACCCTTTCCTAAGCCTCGTTGGGTTGGTTTGCCCCTCGTCCCCCTTTGGGCAAGGAATTGTCTAGGCTCTAGGCTAAAGGACGGTCTTTTAGGTGTAACAGGACTCATTTCTTCCATGCTCAAGTGTGCTTCCCCATTAGAGTCGCTAATTGTTTCAAAACTAGAGAAATTACAAGGGTTTTGAGGGATTACAGCTAAAAGTCAAGGTTCGTAGACTTGTGAAGCACACCCCTCCCTTCTACCTCTCTTTCCTCTATATTGATTTCGATTTGTCATAAACCCTTTGATTCTTCATCAAGATGTCAAGCATGACTTTCTTTGCTCCTAACACCATGGTCATTTCTAGTTCTATCTTCTTCTACACTCCAATGCTTCCTTTTCTAGGAAGTATCATCGTAAGAAGCAGCCTGAAGCAACATTCTTCTCCTTCCCAAAGACTTTTTTTTTTTTGTCTCTTTCACCTCGGGGTTGTTAACAACCTTTTTTCTAACAGTTACTTTCCTTTTTTTATTATTCTCAAAGGAGAAGATTATTCTTTTTACCAAACATATGTGAATCCAATCACGATCTTATAATAAGAACAATAAATCTTTCTCGATCAATCTGCAGTACCTCGTCGTGACATGAGCGTGAAAGGGAAAATCCATTTTTTTTATAACTTATAAGGACTAAAATCATTTATTTTGGCTTATCCACGCCCCGAACAGTACTATAAGAATCAGTATTGAACATCCCCCCGTAATTGTACAGGCTCCCATAGCAATAACATATTTTGGTTCGAGCATTTGCTTGTATAATCTCCTAGTCCCTCTGGAAAGGAAAAAGAATTTCATGTTCTTCCTTTCGGGAAGGAAGGATTATGTTCCATCAACACATTAAAAAGATTATACGATATATCTGCTGTGGAAGTGGGTCAACATTTCTATTGGCAAATAGGGAGTTTCCAAGTGCATGTCCAAGTACTTAAGGGAGTTTTTGCATTGGAGACCACCCTGTCTAGCCTCGGTCAGCTAGGTACTTTACTTATTCTTTTTAAGCGTTTTTGATTTCTTTACATCGAGCACATTTGTCATTCTCTTAAGTATATTTTATTTCTTTTCTTGGATTATCGGACTTTTACTTTCCTGTCTTCTTACCCTTCTTCATTATTTGGTTTATAATGATAACAAATTTTAAGTAAAAGCATGAAAACGAATGAATGATATGAAACTAAAAAAATCATTCATTGTAAAAAATGACATAAGATGAAAACGCAAGATATCATCGGTATAATTATTTAAGCATGTATAGTTTCTATAGACATAAGATGAGTATGACTCAATTAACAATTAAATAAAGTAAATAACTGTTAATTAAAATATATGTCATTGATACATATTTATAAATTAATCTCTTATTTTTAAAACAAGTACATTTTAATCTTTATATGATGTGTATTTTAAATTCAAAAAATAAAAAAAATTATGGACTTAGACTTTTTAAGGAAAATTAAAATGAATAATCAAATAAAAAAAGAAGAGATTTAAAACTTATATATTTAAACTTAAATATTATATATATATATATATATATATATATATATTAATAAATTAAATTCGTATTGATCTGTAGATCAATTAAAAAAATTTACATATGACAAAAACTTTTATTTACAGTTAAAAAAATTAAATAAATCTTAATATTTTAAAATATAAATTTTTTAAATATAGAAATTAATCCGTAAATAATCACCAACTATAAAAACTAAATATATATTTAAACTGTAATAATTTTAGTTCTTTAAATTATAAATGTTGATTAGTTTAGTTTTATTTTTTTAAAAACAAATTTTACTTTAGTTTTAATTTTTTTAAAATTATTATTCTTAATATTAATTATTTTATTTTTATTGCCATTTTATAATAAAAAATATTAAAATGAATGTTATCTTATAAAGTTAAAGATAATTTTTTTATAAAATAAATAGTTAAAGTGATCAATAATTATAATACTTATAATTTGAATAACTAAAATGAATTTTATGTTAAAACAAGTGCAGTGTATGCAAAGGCAGTGAGTTAGGCAGTATTCCGCTTTAGATTCCAATCCAACGACGCAGCTTCCGTGAAACCACCGCTTCTGCCACGCCGACTTCAATGAAAGTGAATGTGACTTTCATTCCATTATTCAACCATATCAATGCTAGTTAGTAGTTTCTGCTTTAGGTTGATATTTATTAATTTTTTAACGTAAATTCAAACACCCTGAATCTATTTTTGCTCAACTCCTTCATCCTTTCAACATTACTTTTATAATAAAATTTACTTAAAAATAAAACTTAAATTTGGTAAACACTAATCTGTTAATGATTTGGATAAATTTAACATCCACCTAAGATGGGCAATTGTATCCTTTTTAATATATTCTTTCTACTTCTTTTATAAGAATTTGCTCTAAAAAAATGTATCAATCCTCAAAATAAGATCATTTATAAGAATTCAGCTTTAATTAAGAATAAATTTGAAATATTGTAATTAATTTATAAAAAAACAGCATATTAATTATTTTCAACATTTTTTAAATATGTATTGTTTAATTAATATTTTTATAAGCAGAAGTGTAGGAAGGATAGAACCTAGATTAACTTGCCGATATGTAATGTAATTTACCAAAAACTTGCAGCTATGTATTAGGAAAAGAATAATCCATTGTTTTCACAAGATGCATACCTTTTGTTGCTTTGATTCACTTACTTTCTATCCGCACGTATTCTTTCTTCAGCCTTTTTTATATTCACTGGTGCTGTCACATTCTTCGTATCTTAATCCTTAGACCAAGAAACACACACAAATATGGCATTGCATCTTCAAATGATCTTTCCAATCATCACTTTGGTTCTGGCATTAATTTTATCAGGTAATAATAGTTTTCCATTGTCATTTATTTATTTATATATCAAGCAAATTTTGAAATAGCTTGTTAGAACCCATTTTGTATTTCTGTACCATTAGTTCATCAATTTAGTGTTCGGCCTACAAAACAGAGTTGTTTTACTCTTTTCATTTCTTTTGATTTAAGAAGATACCACATAAATTAAAAAATGTAATTAGTATTTTAATTTATATTAAAATTATTTTTAACTTCTTAATATGGTCTTCATTATTATTTTTCTCTCATTTATATTTAAAGTGTATAAATTATCTTTGATTTCTTAGTAAACAGATAATGAAAATATTTTTTTCTTCAAAAGTTTACCCAAGAAAAAAAATAGGAAAATGATGTTTGAATATCTTAGGAGAAACATCTGTAGGTGTTCTCTTCGTTTTAGAAGTGTATTTTCAGAGTGTTTGAATAGCACAAAGATTAAAAAAAGTTAAGACAAGAATTCAGAGAGTTTGTCTAAGTTATCACATGCGATAAATAATCATATTGTAGGTAAACTAATGAAGTTTAGATATTATATTAAAAGTTGTATCAATTTTAAAAAAAATCAATCAAAATGCGATTATTTAATTTAAAAGATTACTTAGACAAACCTGACATTGAAACTCGTAAATGATGTCAATTTTTAATACTGCAGCTATCAAAACTGAAAGAAACAAAGGAGATGTAAATTACTGTGTCTTCCTTTTTATAGTGAAATTAACGTGTATAACATTTTAATCTTAAAAACGATGTTGGTGAGAACAGAGGAAAGAGCATGCGAGGGTGCGAGAGTGTTCACCATAGTGAACCATTGCAAGGAGACACTATGGCCAGCGGTGACACCAGGAGACAACTTCAACGGTGGAGGTTTCGTTCTAAAACCAGGCCAATCCGCAGTCTTCACTGCGCCAGTTAGTTGGAGCGGTCGCATTTGGGCTCGAACCGGTTGCAAGTTCGACCAAACCGGAACGGGCCAATGCCAAACCGGTTCATGTGGCACGACGCTGAAATGTTCTGCCTCAGGGAAAACCCCTGCATCACTAGCAGAATTCACACTCGCACAAGTTGACTTCTACGACGTTAGCCTCGTTGACGGCTTCAACGTTCCCATTTCCGTTAAGCCCATCAACGGAAGGGGAAACTGTTCCACTGCGGGTTGTGACTCTGACCTCAGAACCAGTTGCCCCAAAGAACTCGCCGTTAAGGCTAACGGCAAGACCGTTGGGTGCCGTAGTGCTTGCGATGTGTTTAATGCTGATGAGTATTGCTGCAGAGGGGTTTATGGTAACCCCGTTACCTGTAAACCCACCTTCTATTCCAAGACGTTTAAGCAGGCTTGCCCAACTTCTTATAGTTATGCCTATGATGATCCAACTAGTATTTTCACCTGCGCAGGGACAGATTATGTCATTGCTTTCTGCGCTTCCAGGTTTCTGCATTTCGACAATCCCTTTTCTTTATTTTTTTCAAATTTCAGTATTTAATGTTATAGTTTTATTGCAATATTTAGTCTTGTGATTTTGAACTTCAGGAAGCAACAGGTGTGCACATACCATGACAACAAGCTTCATTGCAGTGGATCACAAGGCTTAAAATCGTTGGTCGGAAGGTGGTGGATCGTACTGATAGCCGCGTTTTTAGTGTTCAGTTTGTGAATAGGATTCTAGACCATGCCAGAATTTGATTCCACTAATGAAGTTGATGAGTTCACGTGAAATTTAATGAATTTGATGACTTTGTATAAATGGAACCAGTTTTTTTTTTTTCCCTTATCTCTGAGTATGTTGCTGCTACCGTGGGTCTATGCACCGTGCCCGTGTTTATTCCTAGTGTATACGGGAAAGTGTTTATTCCTAGTGTATACGGGAAAGTGTTTATTCCTAGTGTATACGGGAAAGTGTTTATTTTAACAATTGGTTCATATTCTTTTCCTTTAATTCAAGGAAGAAGGTGAGGTGCACTTGAAGATATTCTTGTCGATATTAATTACTAATTAGTATTTATAATGTATGCGTTGAATATATATTTAGAGATTTTTCAATGTATTTTCAAACACACTTAAAACTGGTTTCAGATGATGGATTTGTTAGCAATGAAATTTGAAACTTGCATAGGCAACTTCTTTAATATTTACTGGTAGACTACCCTTACCATACAACGAATTTCTTGAGTATTGGTGCACAAGACAGCAATATCCCTAGATAATAAAATTTCAAAAACAATGAACTTTAAAGATGATACAAATGTTAATTAGTTTGTATTTGTTATAGAGATGTCCTTTCTCCGTCTTCGTCATCTCAACATTGACAACAGAACCACCGTTGAGCCATCGATGCCCCAAGCCTAACTCCAAAAATTGTCTCAAACTGCATCTCTCAAATTGTTTCTGTTTTGTAATGAATGTACTTACTGAAATGAATTATAATTTATACATAATTGGGAGAGACATACAAAGCACATTCCATACTAAAGATAAACACGACACGACTGTAGTCAAATTTAGTAGTGTGGGAATATTTTTATATGACTTATGCTACTATGTTTGTTACAAGCACGTGCATAATATTATAACTTTTAGAAGTTTAAAACCAAAATATTTGAACACATATTAAACTTGAGCACTCTCCCGCATTAACTTAACCACATTTGTTTTAGAAAACAATATATATTTAAAAAAATGTATTCAAAGTTTTAATTTATTTTATTTTATTTATTAAAAAAATCCACATAACATAAAACGATTCTCGTCTCACTTGCTCTCACCATAACCTATTACACACAAAAAAATCTCTTACCCTAAGGATGACTGATGCTATAACGTTAGTGTTCTTCTAATTGGGGGGTAATGAAGTGGAGGTGTGATGTTGGATGACATTGATATTTGGAAGGAGAACAAGGGTGAATTTTGGCCAGTGTTCTTCTAATTCTTGCTGCACCAGTGGCAGAGTGGTATAGGTTTCAGGTATGAACAACACATGCCTTACAAAGTGGAAAAATGATTAGGTAGATCGAAATTATATAGTTTGACCAATAATATTGTATTATGTGAAAACTAAATTTTATGATTTAAAAAATAAACATTATTTTTATGAGAGACTTACCTTCAAATTTGTACATAGATGCTTCTGTGCATTATTAATGAAGCAGAATTTAATATCCTCTGTTTTAGTTACTTCAAAGAAAGAAAAATGTTAGCATTATATAACCGTTAACATTTTATCTTATATTATTTAATAACTTATCAAATAATTTAATTAAGATCAACTGTTAGATTAAAATTTTTAATTATATAAATTATATATATATGTAAACTTTTAAATGAATCTAATTTTTTTTATACATTAATAATATACATTAAAATTAACGTAATATATAATTTTAAATATATAAAAACAAAGATTTTTTAATTGAATTATTATACTTGTTTAATTTTAACAAAATTTAACATAAATAATAAGATAGTTATAATTTAATAGTTTTATCAATAAACTGGCATAATATTTGCAAAATTATATATATATATATATATATATAATACAAAATTGTGTTTTTTTATACATAATATTTTAAATCATTATTTGAATATTAAAAATTAAAATCTTAATAATATACTATGCTTGCGCTGTTGAGAAATACTTCATAGTACGAAAATTTTAACCGAATTATTAGACAAAAACATTTTATAATGGAAAATTTGGAGTAGTGCTCTAAGTTACGTGGCTTATATATATACATGTATATGTAAAAGTTGCGTGAGAGAGTTGTTGGTTAACATAACACTCAACAGTTAGGATGGGAAGCGGTGGAAAAGTGTCGTTCAAAGTGACCCTCACCTCCGATCCAAAGCTACCTTTCAAAGTGTATGTTATGTTCTGTTATCTCACTCTAATTCCTTTTTCACCGTTTTCTTGATTTCCCCAATTTTCTAATTTTCCATTTTCTCAATTTCAGATTCAGCGTTCCCGAGGGTGCACCTTTTACTGCTGTTCTCAAATTTGCAGCTGAAGAATTCAAAGTGCCTCCTCAGACCAGCGCTATCATCACTAATGGTATTTTCTTTTATCATTCCTTATTTTAAATTTTGTTATTTGGGATTGACTAAGCTTTTTATTTTTATTTTTGTTGGTTTGAATGGATTGAGGAGGTCGATTTTGCAATTTTTGAAATCTTTGGATTAATCAGAGAATATTTAAATTTACTGAGAGCTTTTCAAATTTCGGAATAGGATTTTGATAGAATGGCGGTGGATACTGGATACATGATCTTTTTGGGGTGATTATGAGATCATGAAATCTAAGATTACTAAGTGGTTTTAAGCTTTGGATAAAATCTTAAATTATGAATTCTTTTCACAAATGGTGTGTTCTGTTGTGGAAAAGAGCTTGATCATCATTTCTTAACGAATCTGTCTCTCAACTCCCCTGGCTCCTAAAATAATGAAAATGAAGGTAGATAAATTATAGTCCAAGGGTGGAAAGATCACTGATTCGTTGGTTCATCAAAACTTGGTACAAGTTAAACCTCAGATCATTCTGAATTCTTCTGAGATATTGATCTTTGATGATAATGTTGTATTCTTCACTCTTCAGGTTATCTCGTTAAGGATTAAGTAGTGTGTCTACCATCCATGTTTTACATGGTTCTAATTGTTTCTTTTCTTTGGATATTACGGGCACCTCCTGACTGGCTTTTTGTTTTATTTATACATGTTCTTTTTGCATTGATGAACTCTTAGCTGAATTTAATGTCTCTCTTGTTTGTTTGATTGATGACTTCAGCTGCTGCCTTTGTGGGCAGATGTCATGTTATTGAGATCAATTCTCATGAGGATTATTAAACCATTATAAACAATCCTATGTTACATATTAAACCTAAAATCAAGGAGAAATTTCTTTCATTCAATGGGTTTGTTTGAACGTGATCAAATTTTACACTGACGTGTTATCAAGTATTGGTGTTTGTGCTTAAGCTTCAGTGCCAGAATTTTTTTTTTTTGAGATATTGCAAATATCATCTCATTACATGCTTCAAGCTTTTCACCTTTCCATATTCTGGAATCATGAATTACATTATCTTTTGTTTTAACTTGAATCAATTCATTCTCTTCCAGTTCAGATAGGAGAGTCTGGACTTGCAAATATTTCCACGTTTTCTCCTGTACTTACTTTGTTCAATTGTTTATGTGCTCTTCTAACTGCCAAATGTTCCTTCTTGACAATCTAATTTGGAAGTCAAAAGCTTCCTCTAGGTTTGGCACAAATGACTTGTTGCAGATTCATAGGTATTACATTACTCTTTCTCCAAAGAAGTCTTATGTGTAAATCTGACTAAAAACAACAGGTTACTCATTTTTGCATAGGAAGGATGCTAAACTTCTTTAGATCTATACTTTTGTGCTTCTTACCAGCACTGAGTGTGTGTCTCAAATGTGGAACAAGTTTTGGCTGGTTAGTTAGTTAGACAGAAAGGCTTTAGTAAAAATAAAGATGCAGCTTTTTTATTGTGGTGTGCCATGTATGCAGTCCTTTGATGCACCTGGCTGGAGGGGAATGTTCACATCTTTAAGGGTGTCTCTTTATCCCTAAATTTGTGTGGGATAGGATTTTGCTTTTGGCTTCTCTTTGGTGTTCTGCTATGACATGACTGCTGTGTTTGTATAATTCAGTGTCTAGAACTGTACGGAGAGGTCCTTTCATGTTAGAATGAATGAAAGGCCAAGTACGATAGTAATACCCTAGTACAGAACTATAGATCTTTGCCAACAAATAAATTAATATCTCAACACAAATGATAAAAACCTGCTACTTCACTTGGAAAGTAAAGTGGCCCAAATGTGCACATGTGAACATTTTGACTATATAAGCATTAGGGTTAACTAGGAAGCCAATGGTATAATATCTCATTATGTGTTACAAAATATGAAGCACTGACCCTTATTATATTAGTATTACTGCTAGATCATAATCCTAATTCAATAACGTAACACATCATGAAGATAAGGAAATATGAGAACCAATCTTAAGAGATAATCTGATGTATTTTAAAATACTTTTAATTACTCTAAGATACAATCAAGATATGATTGGATTTTTTGAATATTCTAACCATTACCATTGAAAGTAGGCTTTACTGTTAGGATCAAACAGTGTCAAAGAAAGAAGGGGTAGATTTGGTTCTTGTTAGTAGTCCATTGGTAGGTTAAGCACCTGGTGAGGCTTGTGGCATATCTTGACTTTGGCATTGGGTAACCTCGCTCCCCTTAAATTGTCGCACCAAAAAAAAAGGGGCGTTTGATTCTGTTAATGACCCTATAGAACCCAACAGTATTTTGGAGTTAATCCATCTTTCTGTTATAGTACCATCGATTTGTTGTAACACATTAATTACTTTCTATATTGCAGATGGTGTTGGGATAAATCCTCAGCAGAGTGCAGGTATGTAATTTTATGATTTTCCCTGTTCAAACGTGGTGTGCCATTACAAATATTCTTGTGATGAACTTAAAATAATTCTATCACAAATCAAAAATGAAAAACATTTCGCTTACACAATTTTTTCCCTTGTAATTCTATTCCCTTGGATTAATTTAAAAACCATCAATTTATCAAAAAATGTAACAAAAATTAGTTTGTTCTTTTTGGGTGGTTTTACCATGCCACAACCATCCCCTTTTTATTTATTGCCACATCACCTAAAATGCAAGTTCACATGGTGTCACATGTTGCATAGCGTAAATATGTCAATATTGAAAGAATCAATTTACGCTATGTGGCAACATCACAGCATTTAGCACTTCATGTATGTTTTATTAAAATAAAAATGCAAGGAGCTTCATGTCATCTCAATATGATGCCAAGTGGACTAATGCCATAGATGAGGAGTTGACATATGGTTCCCATGCTTAAACCCTCACACCTACTAGGATTTCCCCTACATCCTATTATGCAGAGACCCCCTCTGCAAAGACTTCCCTTCCTCCATGCAACCCACCTCCCCCCTTTCCCCCACTCCATTTGTTGTTTTGAATTTAACTCCTTTAAGGTTCGAGATTTACTTTAGATGTAAAGAGCGATACCTATTGATTCCAAAATCAAAAATTGAGATTTATATGACTGCATGTTTTGTTATAGATGCATTTAATCTCATTTTCAACCATTGATTTTTTTAATCGGGCCATAATTTCTCTTTATACTCTAAAGTTGATCCCCTTTTTTACATGAATCAAATCCATTTTTTTCACTTCATCCCACCTCCTATACCCTTGTTTTACCTCACATAATCCATTTTTTTTTAAGGTTGGTTCCTCCTCTTTTCATTGTTTCTCATTCTTTATTCAATTCTTTTTTATAAAAAACTTAGCACAAATAGGTACTTTTTTCCTTCATTATTAAGTGATTGTTTTATCTACTTGCCCTTTTTTTGTGGTTCATATTACAAGTTTAGGACTGAGTTGAATTGTTGTTAGCTGATAATTTGTTAGTGAAGAGTAAGCTACCATTACTTGAACTCGGTCCTAAGCAGTACATATGAACTAACAAAACAATGAAAACAACAATTGCAAATGGATAAAAAGATATCACATTGTGATGAAGAAGAATTACCTATTTGTGGTGAATTTTAAATAAAACCTAGAAAGAAAGAGATAAAAAAGAATGAAGAATAATGAGAAGAAGGGGGAACGAACGAAAATGGAGCGTATAGTATATGTGGTGAAGAGGGTTCATGCATGAGAACCAAATGATAGCTCCTCAAGTGTGACGCTAAGCCCATGAGGTGTCGTCATACACATCACATGGATTTGCACCACACAAGGGTAAAAGTCATGTAGCTCTGTTTTTATTTTTTTAAAATAAAACACTGTATGGACAACTGTCACATGTTGTAATGCTAGCACATGGTAGCAGTTGATTTCTTTATCTTAATGGCATGCATCCACGTGCCGCACAAGTGATATCACGTATACTTGTGTTTGAGGTGACATGGCAGCCAAAGTAATTGATTGTCATGACAAAAATCACTTCAAATGAGTAAATTTTTGTACAAATTGCTACATGGAGTGGCGGAGCTAGGCTATTTAAGTTGGGAAGGCCAAATATATAAAACATCATTAAAAAAAAAATTGATTTGTTTTGTTTTGTTTTTTGTGGTTATAAAATTATGTATATTAGATTAGATAATAATTAATCACTCTATACATTCAAAATTCCATTTGTTATTTTATATCCAGGGAGTAAAAAAATATATGGGGTGTTAGTTTAAAAAAATAAATAAAATAAATCAAGTATTAGAATTTTGTACGTAGCTATAGAGGTTTTACCTTAAATTGAACGTAGCTCCGCCCTGGCCAAATGTCCTCATAAGAGCAGTCAATAATGAAGTTTAAAAGAAAAAAAGATATTCAGGGTTTAACAGAAATCATGGATGGTATAGAGTATACAGTTTGCATTATTTTTTCGTCTATTTTCATATATGCTCATCAGTATTTTTCTTTAAAATTAACCCTAACTTAGTAGAAAACAAAAATAATCTATTAAATATATGTAACAATATGCTGCTGGTTATAGTAGTTATCTGTGGTTTGACGGTATATGGTGACACTTCTTCAGGCAATGTCTTCCTTAAGCATGGTTCCGAACTACGTCTGATTCCGCGTGATAGGGTCGGTGCTTCTTAAGATGTTAAGGGATGTCTGATCTGATTAGTGACTACTTCCTTTTTCATGTATCTCGATGAGTGTAGCTTAGTGAATACCAGTATTACTCATATCATGTAAGTTATATATCGGAGTCTTCATAGATAAATTTTATTTGAATAATGAACATATATATATATATATATATATCATAGGAAAATACGGTCTTCTTCCTTTCAACATTCAATTTATTTCTGATTTTTGTCGGTGTTTAGCTGCTCAAATCCTGAGGCACAATTTTCCTCATGATATGAAACTGCGTATTTGAGGCATAGTGAAATTCAAAAAATCATATCTTAAATACTCTTTCCTTTTATGTTTTTCTTTTTTTATTTGGGCTTTATTTATTAAGAGTTGCTGCAAAGGCAGCCGAGAGTTTAGGCAAGGGATGGGCATAGGGGGATCAAACGCTCCATTAAATCAACAGTTGAATCAAGGCATGAAGAAGAGTTAATATATCAATTGATTCCTAATAAATATAGAATGGTTATTGGTCACTAAATGATATAATTTAAGCTTAATTTATTTGAATGTTAATTTCTTGGATCAAATTAGTTCTCACATCATGAACATCAGGAATTAATTTGATTTAATTCAGGAACAAATTTGATTGACTAAATGCATATTTATGCCCCACAAGTGTAATTTTCATCATTCATAGACTAAATATAATTGAAATTATATCTTTTAGAAATTAATTGGATTATTTGTTCTGTCATGGAATGTAAAAACGCCTCTTTAAACATAATATCAATTATTGAATCTTGTCCGAAGTAAGAATCTGGGATCCAAGTTATAAACAGAGGACACTGGACGGTAAGAGTTGCTGCTTTCTTTTTTGGGTCAACTGTAATTGTTGTTGCTCTTCTAAACGCAAAATCATTTTTTGACTTAGAGAAAGTTAGATTGTGGAGGAGAATATGGGCCAGCAGAGCCATAGTTGGGATTTCATATTTTCAGTATTTTTTTTATGTCTACTTTTGATTGAATTTTATTTTTGTTTATTTATTTAGAACTTTAAGGCAGTATGTTATCTTTTAGTTATGTGTTTGTTTTTATTTAATTCTTAAATAGTTAATGCCCTTATCATAAATAAGAAAAAATAATAGCAAAGATTAATAATTTTAAGATAAATAAGTATATTAATTACTTTTTAAATTTATATATTATCTTCTTATATGGACAAATAAACGAACAAAGAAACATTGCATGAACAGTGCAGTCGGAAAGTTTGGAGAAATGAAGACAAAGGTATTAAGTTTCTATGTCTACCCTTGGAACAAAAAAAAGGATTAAACCTCAAGTCAGTCTTCAAGAATTGAGATTCTACAGGTGGGGAATTTTAATCCATAAAATTTTAAGATTTTGTTAGTCTTTTTGACTTTGTAAAAAAAAATTATTTTTTGACTTTTAAACTTTTAAACTCTATCTTTTAGTATTGCTTTGTGCTAAAATGGATTAGTGTAAATGGTGTTCTATAAAGTCAAAGACTACAACAATTTTTTAAGAAAACTCAAATTAAAATATACAATCCAACAGTATAAAAAACTAAAACTGGAGTTTCTTTTAAAAAGAGTTTATATATCCAGCAGAAATGGTGGATATCATAAATTGGCTGTTGCACCTCTTACTGCGTTGGTCCCATAACATTTATAGACAGTGTCCCCCAATCATCCATCTTCTTCTAAATGCTAATAATGGATACAAATATGAGGTTAGACCGACCTACCCGCCTTCCACTAGATACTCCATTACTCAATTATATGAGCATTGAAATTTCAGTCATTTAGCCTTTTCCTCTTACCTCCTCAATCAAAGTTTCAATCATGCTACACGATCTCAAATCTTTAAACTATTTAAAGATGTGGGCCAACAAGTTTCTAATGTATGGAAATCTTTCCAAAACAGTTTTTTTTAATTTAGTAAAATTGAGAGAGAGCAAGTTATAATGTGTTTTATCTAAAGCTCACAAGAAAATTACCTTTATTTTATTTTTTTTACTAACTATGCAATTAAGGTTGTTTGTTTGTGTCATTCTAAAATGTATTTTAATTTTAAAACATTATATATCCAAAAAGTACACAATAAGAATATATATATTTGTTCAAAATAATAAAATTTAATACATTTGTAACTCCAAAATATTTGTTTAAAAAGTTGTATTATATTCTATTTCACAATGATGAAAAATACATGTTAAAAGATTTGATAAAATGTAAAATGAAACGCTTATACACAATGATAGCCTGAAATCTGAACAAACTATTTAACTCTGTGGCCTTCAATAATAGCCTGAAATCTGAATCCCCTCTTCTGCGCCATTTGCCGCAATTTATACAGTGCAAGCAAATATTCACAACGGGCACTTGTGCTACTATATTTGAGACAGATTCACATGTAGTAGTAAAGTAGTCTCATGTGTGTTGTGTCAATTTTTACTTCGTGAATTGTGATTAAATGGAAGTTTCTATTTCCCCAATTATTTAGTTGTAATTTTCTTTTCATCGCTGTTTGTTAGTCACGTTGTTCAATGAAAAAAAAACTTAGATATTATGGAGATAATTAAGAAATATTTAATATGTTACATGAAATCATTTATTATATTTTTCTTTCTTTAACTAATACTTTAACAGTATTTTTCAAAATTTTATTATATAAATTAATGAAGAATACTAAGAATATTAATTAAAAATAAAATATTAAGAAATTATTTTTAACGAATCTTTCTCCTTATTTATTATTACACTGATTTATGGATTAGTAGAAGTTTATTTTTCACCTAAAAATACTGTTTATGATAACATTCAGAATGTGAATTAATAAACTTAAAAACTTCTATGATCCTATGCTAAAAAGAAAAGGCTAATATTATTGATATGTGAATATAATATATATATATATATATATATTTGTTAGATTTAACTTTTTATAATATAAAGGAATAATGAAACGAGAAAACCAAAATGTATTTGTTGTTAATCTAAAATGAATTAAATATATAAAATAATTTAATTTAAATCAATAGTCATACACTTTCTTTTCTTATTTTATACACTATTTATTTTATGCAAATTAATTATTATTATTTTAGCTTCTTTCAATCCCTTCGTTGCGGTGCTGTGGCATTCCCTTTTCTCTTCTTTTTAAGATTATTTTATTTTCCTACTTTCACGTTGATCGATAGTCCTAATTTTGAAGTTAGAGCCTTAGCTTCGTATCTCACTCGTAAATAAAAAGTGACATGGATTTAAAAAAAAAATAGAAAGAGGCTATTTTCTTTCAAAATTTTCAAACTAGTATAATCTTTTTTTATTAAAAAGATATATTAAAATAGAGTAAGATTTATTATGTGAAAATAATTTATTTCTTATTAATTTTTACCTTAAATATTTTTATTTTTTTAACAAATTTTAATTTTAGTTTCATATTTTTTATTTTAATTTTTTCAAAAATCAACTATTTCTCTTGTTGTTCATAATAATGTGATCCGAAAAAATTAATATATGTCACGAAAAATCAATATGTGACAACTTAAATAGTCAACCACCGTGGTAGACAAAGGAAAACATTACATTATAAATTTTAAGAGTTAAAACTAAAATAAAATTAAAAAATTAATATTAAAATTTCATAAAAATAGAAGATATATATATATATATATATATATATAGGAACATAATTTTTTTACACTAGTATAAATCTAAAAAGTCTTATACTCAGATCTGAACTTTTTATTTAACTTATATATAACAAATTATAATTCATTACTTTACTTATTATTAAGTTAAATAAAAAACTTAGATCGAATGTAAAATATATACATAAGACTAGTGTAAGTCTAAAAACTTTTATAATTGATCTGAACTTTTTATTTATTATAATTTATTACTTTATTAATCGTTAGATGTAAATTAAATAAAAGATTTAGATCGAGTGTAAGAATTTTTATATATACACTAGTATAAAAATTATATTAAGTAATATATTAAAAATTATGAAATTATTATATTATATTTTATTTTTAACTAACATTTTAAAAATATTAGTTGATATTTGTCTATCATTTAATATGTCATACACGTCCCCTCTTGCCATTCAGTTTATTATTATTATTTTAATTATTTTCATTCTTTTATATTAAGAAATAACGATGAAATTTAAAGAAATAATGAAATATAAAGGTCAATTAGTTTATTTTTATTTAAATGGCCATGCAGTAATTAAATATAATGTTTAAAATTGCAATTAAAATTGCCATGAAAATTTGCAATTAAATCTGAAATGTACGAAAGAAGCTTAGGTCTGACGCGAACATGGCTTTTATTTAAAAACACATGCACTATTAAATACGAAGTTTAAAACTTCAATTAAAAATAAATGGGTGAAGCATATGTAAATAATACCAACGAACCTCAAACAAAATGAAACAGGATATATATGAAGTTGGCCATAATGAATAAGGTTACTTACGACCCTAATAGAGTTGTGAATTTGGGTTAGCTTAGTTTGTTTAGGTAAGTCTACTATAGACCTAAACTATTTCAAATTTTACTAATTAAATTAAGTTAATTTAGTTATATATATGAAGATATTTTTTATTACCGGTAGTGCTGTAAAGATTAAGGAAGTGTTTGTTTTTATTTTTAAAAACTATTTTATATTGAATTTTATTTTTAAAAATAAAAACTATTTTTAAAACAATAATTAAACATATCCTAAAATATATTAAAAATATACATATACACAAAAACACTATAGTAATACACGGATCACGAAAACATTTAAATTTAAAATGATAGTAATAATGTTCCATACTTGCATGATTAAAGCAACAGAAACGAGGCAATGCATTTTGCTGACCAGCTGTTGACCGCAGTTGAATAGATTTGAGTAATCTTCCACACCATAAAGTGCACACCTGCACCTGTCTTTCTTTGGATCACATGATTCGCAAAATATAAATAAAAAAATAAAATATATATATATATATTATTTTTATTATCTAAACTAAATTAAAAAAAAATATGTTGGTGTGTATAATATAATGCAATTGTAATTTTTTTTCTATTAAAAATATTGCTCCACCAATAATGAAAAATTAACTGTTTTAACACGAAGAGTCGAAGAGATTATCGAAATATAAACAATCATTAGCTTATTTTTTAAAAGATATATTTAAATAGCTAAAAGCCAAGTAATTTAACGGAAGTTACGGAACTCTTTCTTCTTAATTTGGTAGGTGGGTGCTTCCCACTGGTGCGTGTGCACACTGCACTACGCTGGCTTTGCAGGATTACAACATAAAAATTATAAAAATAATATGCTGGTTAAGAAAAATTAAAACATCTAAAAATATAATTTTTTATATTTCTAATTACTTTTTTAAAAATTATTATTTATTAACTCTCTAACTATACTCTTAGAACACTTTTAAAAAAACTAAATTAAAATCCAATTACAAATCATGCCAATTTTAGGATTTGGAATGTTAACCCTATGTTGTTTTCTCTGCGGTTCGAGATTTTATACATATTTCACGTTAATAGAGTGGTTTATGCATTCTAATTTAAAACCAAGATCTGGAAGAAAACTAATTCGATTCTTTTATTCCTTACTTACTGCAACCATTTTCAGTGGTCCTATTGTTTATCAAATTCTTAGTTCTTCACCTGCAAGTTTTGTTTTCTTGTTAATAATGTAAATGAAACACAAATAACGGTACATCTTTCTATTATTTTATGACATTGACAAATGTCTTTATAGCAATGTTAAAAGGAAATTAAATATAAACATGTGTATAATTGTTAATTTAATAATAATTAATTAGTTTACAATGAAATTAATAAATAATTTTGACCAAAATTTATTTATGTTAAAGTCTACTTGGTTTGACCTATGACTATTAAATTAAGTTTTATTTTAAAGACAATTTTTTAATAAATACACTATTTAACTAATCTGTATTAATTATTTTATCATAATTTTTTAAAAAATTTTTTTTTTTACTCTTTTTTCATTAGTCAAGTGGTGTATTTATCAAAGTTTATCCTATGCAAAGTTGTACAGAGATTAAAAAGTTTGTTATGAAAATATATGAACTTGATAATGTAATGGAGTTCTATTTAAGTTAAAAAAAGAATTTTAATAAACAAATTTATTATTGCTGAAGCAAACAATATCTTAATTTTAAATTTTTCTAATTATTATTTTGAGGATGGTTTTACTTAATCATGTAGCTTCACACCTGTTAGTAAAGATATCTGATATGATCATATAACAAAAAAAACAGTGTGTACAAGTATAAACTAACAAGGTTAATTTTTTTGCTACAAAAAAATAAAAAAATAATTAAAATACATTAATAACAAATATTATTTTAATAATTAACTTATAAAACATATCTAATCTATTCTAATCAATTGACAAGATGAGCATATCTAAATTTAACTGATAAAATAAAGGTAAAAAAAGGACAATGTTAATTTTAAAATTTTTATTTGATTATGAATATTCTAAAAATAGTTAATTAGATTCTATTTCTCCGACAGTGGGAAGGAATAGCAGGGGATCGATGCTCATCAATTTCATACCATACCACGCCATTGTCACACTACTCTCTCAGTCTCGTTATTTTTCATTTCCCTAACTGTCCCTCTCATCTTCTCTTTAACACAACAAAAAGCTACTCACTCACTACTCTCTCTCTATCTCTCCACACTTTCTCTTCTGCTCTGCTAAAAAAGGACAAAAAATTCTGATTCCAAAAACCTCAACAAAAATCTTCACACTCCATACACTAAACGCAAACGCACATTGTTTTCACCAACATCACACACACACACACACTCTCTCTCTACACTGCACTGTTGTTGTAGAGAGGGAATTGTCCAATGAAATCCAAAGCTGTCGGTAACGGCCACGCCAGCGAGTCCGGCGGAGGCGGAAGCAGCACTTCGCCGAGTCCGCCGCCATCGCCGCGCCGCCACTCCGGCATTTCGCGATGCCGGCGGAGAGTGCGTTCGGCGAAAGACTCGTCGGAGACTCGGCGCGGCCTCGGAAGCTTGGCCGCCGGCATCATGGCGCGGCGGAGCCTCCGGTATTTCTTCCTGCTGCCGGTGGTGTACATCTCTGGCTTGTTGATGTGTGTGGGACCATTCTCTGCTCTCATTGGCCACGCTCCTCTTCCCGGTTCTCGCTATCGCAGCCACGTGGTCTTCCACAACCTCTGGGACGATATCGAGAACGATAATTCCACCGCCATTGAGGTTAGTAGTGTGCGACTGAGTGATTGAGTGAGCGTAATGCAGAGAGAGAGAGAGAGAGATTTTGAGGATTTCGTGTTTGTTTTTGTTGCAACTTTATTTTTTTTAATTTGGTTATATTGATTATTAATTATTAACTACTTTTGGATGCGGAGCATGAGAAAAAAAATTTGAAAAATCCTTGTCTTCCACGGAGAGGGCTGATTTAATTTTAATAATTTTTGTCTTTTTGCAGTTGTCTTCTGTGTGGAAGTATAAAAGGAAGTTGAGGGAGCAGAAACCTTGTCCAAACTTGACTACTTTGCATCGCGAACATTTTGGTATGCTCTCGTAGTGATAAAATGTTAAAACTACTTAATAATGGTTTTTATTACGCTTATATGTTCGAAGTCAGCGTTATATTGCTGCTACTGTGAAATTTGGGGTGTTAAAAGTGAATGAAACTTTGTTTAGAATGTTTTAATTTTGTGCTTTCTCATAATTTCAGTGTCCTCTGGATCAAATGGTTTTTTGATTGTTGAGGCCAATGGTGGTCTTAACCAGCAACGCTCTGCGGTATGATAAGAATTTTCCTTTCTCTGACTTTGAGAACGCTTAGGTTTTTATTTTTAGAGAAAAACTGGTTTTCGCAGCTTTGTTTGTTAACACGTCCTTCTGTAGATTTGCAATGCTGTGGCTGTGGCTGGACTCCTGAATGCAGTACTGGTTATACCTCAATTCGAATTCCACAATGTGTGGAAAGATCCAAGGTGGACCAATTTACTTATTGTGTTCAGCTTTGATTTCGAACCTTCAAAGATAAGTCTTAACCTGGTGCTGTTGTGGACCTGTGTTGGCCATTGCTACTGGGATTTTGCAGCTGCATTGCTTGATGTAGTCTGTAATTTTCAAACCCTAGTCTCAACGTTTGTGCTTGATAAATTTTTGACACAGACATTGTGACTTAATCTGATTTCTTTGTTTGGCTTAGCAATGGTCAACATATTACTGAATTTCATAACTCAATAAGTTTATGCATTTTACAAACGAAAAATTTCACCTTCTGATGCATTTTCATATGAAGTAAATTGTGCTGATTTAAGGCAAACATCTTTTTAAAATTTTGTAGAACCTAAAACAGTTTAGACTATTGCCTTTATTTGATACAAGTGATTTGCTGAAAAGAAAAGCATTTATAAGGAAACTTTCTTATTCTTTAGTAGTTACTACTCTCTAAACCTTCACACTTGCTTTGTTATTAGAACATTTATTATTTAATTTAAACATATTTGTATAAATTATTCAATTTAATCATGTTCCCATAAACGGTTCCATGCTAACATTGCTTTGTAATATGCAACAAATACGGAACCAATTACACAGCATATACAACCTAGGACAAGAAGCAGATCCTCCTGCAAAATAATATGTTGATACACATTGATTTGTACTTGGAATTTGTTTGGTATGTCTTACATTTGTGATATGATTGAACGTTTGTTGATTATATTTTGTAACAAACTAGCAGTTATGGAATGAAAGTTACCCTTCTTGGGTATGAGTGTTTTCCTTATAAAACAGCCCATACACAAATTATTTATTAAATATACAATTCAATGAACATTATGACATTTCTTAGACTTCTTTATTCCTTATTTATTTCTACAGTTACTTCTATTTAAAATAATATTGTTTCCCTTACAGTGAATTCGGGGATATATATGATGAAGATCATTTTATATCCACACTTGATGGGTATGTGAAGGTTGTTAAAGAACTGCCAGAGGCACAAATGGAGCGGCATAATTACAATATTAGTAATATCACTAACATCAGAGTTCAAGCTTGGGCTCCTGTCAGTTATTACCTGGGAGTTGTTTATCCTATCTTGCAAAAGGAAGGGTAGGTGTTGGGTCACTTTCGTCTCTTCTTCGATATTTTTTAAATGAACAATGTTGCTCTTTTTAAAAAGAAAGTTTTTGCGTGAAACTGAACTCTGAAGCGAATCCAAATTGGGCATTTGATTTTTCACAATTTCATTTTATGAAAACAATTTGATGCAAGTAAATTTATTTTCTTATGCAGGGTAATTCGAATAGCTCCATTTGCAAACCGTTTGGCAATGAGTGTCCCTCCACATATTCAGTTTTTAAGATGCCTTACAAATTATAAAGCATTGAGGTTTTCTTCTTCAATATCAGCACTAGCTAAAAAACTAGTTAACCGAATGATTGAGAAGAGCTCAAGGACAGATGGAAAATACATTGCTGTACATCTTCGCTTTGAGGAGGTACTGATGTTTGTTCTATCATATTGGAACTGGTAGTTGGTGTCAATATATATATCTCTGTGTGGTGAAGGGTACAAGATTGAATCATCTTTATGTAATGATTGACTGAATCTTAACATGCAGGACATGGTAGCATTCTCCTGTTGTGTATATGACGGAGGAGAGGCAGAAAAGTTGGAAATGGACTCGGTTCGAGAGAAAGGGTGGAGGGGCAAATTTAAAAGAAAAGACCGCATCATTTTACCTAACATTAATCGAGTTGATGGAAAATGCCCACTAACCCCTCTAGAGGTATCTTTTTACTTGCTAATGCTTCTCAGATCTTAAATTTTGTTTTTTTTTTTTTTTTTCCATATTTTAAGTCTGACCATTCTCATGTGCTTATGTCATTGACTTCTGAAGATGCCATCAATATTTTTCTTGGTAGTAACCATTCCTGATACTTGTTTGAAAGTTGAAATTGTGTCAAAGCTGGTATTACATGGAAGAGACTGATGTTTGTTGCACATTTTTAACTATGTAGGTTGGGATGATGCTGCGTGCCATGGGATTTGATAACAATACTTCAGTATATTTAGCTTCTGGGAAAATATATCATGCAGAGAGATATTTGGCTCCTTTAATTAAGATGTTTCCTAATCTTTATACAAAGGAGTCTCTTGCAACATCAGATGAGCTTGCTCCTTTTATGGTAAAGATCTTCATTCCTTGCTGGTTGAAAGAAAAGAAGAATTACTAATGTCATGATTCATTCTATGAAATTGAATGACATCAAATATCTTCAGTTTCTGTTTTATTTGATTTCTTTTTCATAGTTGCCTGTCGATCGAAGCATGCTAACTTGATTTTCTTGCAGACCTGGCTTGTTTGTAGCTTTCCTGCAGCATCCGTTTTTATCATTTTATGGAGCAATATTTATAATTTTTTTTATCCTTGCAGTGATTAAAATACATAAATAAAATATATGGCATCTAATATGGATGCATCATCTAAATGATCTTGTTGTAAGAAAATTTGATGGCTAATGAATTGGACTCAATGGCACAGACTTTTACTACCATTCATTAAAATTCTGAAATACTTATGTTCATGGATTTGGGTTGGACCTGGGAACTAAAGCTCACCCATTTGAACAATCGGTCAGCAGTTTTATACTTGCTAGGCTTCTACTTTTTTTGGTTTAATTGCTTAGACACTGACATCAAAATGCATATCAAGGCTGTAACTGGGTTTCAATTCCAAAAAAGTAAAAGGATGTAATTGTCTTTATAATGTGTTTCTCTAGCCACTCCTCATTCTGTCTTGATGGTTAACTGTGAGGACATCTTTGCTAAAAATAAAGGATGTAATTGTCTTGATGGTTAACTGTGAGGACATCTTTATAACGTGCCCTATTTTAATTTAACTACGCACTTTCTTAGAGTGTATGTTGTAATATTTGTTGGAATTTTCAATAAGCTCTAATGCTTAGTTTCATCCTTTTCTAGGGCTATTCCTCTCAATTGGCTGCACTGGACTACACAGTATGCTTGTTTAGTGAGGTTTTCGTAACAACTCAGGGTGGTAACTTCCCTCATTTTTTGATGGGCCATAGAAGATTCCTCTATGATGGCCATGCCAAGACCATTATCCCAGATAAGCGCAAGCTTGTTGTTCTTTTGGATGACATGAGTATTAGGTATATTCTCTCTCTCTCTCTCTCTCTCTCTCTCTCTCTCTCTCTCTCTCCATATATAGCTATTATATACTGCATTAAAACATTTCAAATGATTTTGCGGAATGTTTAATTTGGTTCCATGTATCATTTGTGTCTTGATGGAAAATAACAATTAGGCCAGGATAATAGTTACATTTTCTGGGATTTATATAGAGGTTACAGCCCGTTCTATGAGATAATAACATGTGTTAACTGATTAGAGTTTGAGAGTTTCCCTTAGACTTGAATGTGAACCTTTTGATCTATATGAAATAAAATTAAAAAGCAGATAATTTATTCCTAAATCCTAATATATACCTTCTTTTAACTGAAACAGTGGATACAATGTAATGGATTTTTTATTTAACTTGGAGAAATAATTGCTTAGTTTTTACAGCATTCTTTAAGAGTTTGTTTTTATAGGTTGTTATTTCCAGAAATGATCCATTCTCAAACACCCAATTATAGTTTGATCCAGTTATATGCGGAACGTGATCTCTGAAGTATATGGAGTTTGGAATGACATTTTGTTGCTAGAGCACTAATAGTATGTAGATACTATCTACCACTGAATTATGAATTATAATCATATAACGCCATACAAAGTAAAATATGTGATAGTGAAAAACATTAGGTGGGCCAAAGCTGGAGTCACAACTATCTTTCTTCCGATTATAGAGTTGCCTATTAATAACAATCAGGGCGGGCTACCAGGTTTTGTGTTGTGGCCTTGTATGCAATGCAATTTTCAATAATTTTATTACCAATAAATCCTGTCACTTAGTTTTACTCTTTCTTTTGTGATTACATTGTTTACTAATTGTTATTTTTTGTTTGGCTTGAATCAAACTTGATAGGTTTGTAACTGTAGGTGTCCATCCTTGTGTGCGCATGTTACATTTAAGTATGTATAGTTGTCTTACATTTAAGTGTGCATAGTTGTCATCTGGATTTCGAGTGGAGGCATAGGCTATGGTTATGCAATCACAGGAAAACACTAGGTGATAGGAAATCTTTGTGCATTGGTTTTGCAGTTGGAGAGCTTTCAAGGATCACATGGACGACATGCTCAATGAAAGTGACCGCAAAGGAATCATGGTACCTAGAGTTAGAAAAATAAACAGAAAAACTTCTGTCTACACATACCCGTTACCAGAATGCAGGTGCCTACAGCAGTATCATGCCAATCAAATTGACCACAATCTTGACATTCTCGATAGTTACAACGGAACAAAAGCTTAAATGGATGACAAGTTTCATTTTGTTTCAGCATCTCTGCGCAGTCATCAAGTTTATATTATGAATTCCATGGCTTTGGTTCTTCAACTTCCAATTCTACTGCCTTTTGAGATGCTTTCAACTTGCAGTTCTGATAACACGAGATTTCTACTTTATGATTGGCTGCTGCAATTGCATGAAGATTTTGTGTGCATATTACTTGGTTTACATAGTCGAACAGTTTCTAGCTTCCAATATAAAGGTTGGAAAACACTGCACCAACGTAGTGTTCTACGAAAGGATATAGCAAAATTCAGAAATAGTCAGAGTGTAGAGTTGTTTTTTTTTTCCTTTCTGATCAACGTTTTTTGAGCTGACATTACCCTTTCTACAATTTTTGTATTTTGTATAAAATTCTTAGGCTCCAAAGAAGACAGTAATCTGTCGAGTCAGTGAGTATTTTAATTTTGACCCAGTATCAGAGGGAGAGATCCTTTTGGTCCTGTTGACGAGTGGCTTTGTTTTTCATCCCTTCCACATTTTGAAAAATGTAAATGTTTTCTGTGTACGTTTTTCTTTTCTGTCATTAAACATCATTTGAAATTGTAATGGTCCATGGAATAACAGGTTGAGTTCGGAATGCCAGGTAAAAAACTAAAGATCTTTACTCTTAATGCAGCGTAGTAGGAAACCGTAGTTGAAGTTAGAAGGATGTGAGTTGATCTTATTTTATGTTAATAAAAGGCGCTATGACCCTGAACAGAAATTACATAGCCCAATATGGGAGACAGAACTATCATGAACGCGCGCAAAATCAACTCTCTATTTCAGGTCAGTAACATGAAAACACACGTCTCTCTTCTAAACGCTACTCTTTACTGTGTCAAAGCAACATGTCCCAGTAACCATCTCAGACTCGGGTCAAAAACAAGAACTCGCCTTGACCATGTAATGTGGCAAAGTTTTCTTATTTTACTTCCACTCTACACGATAGAAGGATAAGGTATGGGGCAATAGAACTTGTCAGTCCTTACTCAAGATCCGTTTGTGCGAGCAATGATTTGCATCAGATTACTCAGACGCATCTAATTGGCTGACATGTGAATCACTGAGGCAGTCTAGATGCAGAATCGAGTAAACTTGTAAATTAGTTCTTAAGTTTTATAAACCTTATTCAATCTCTAACTATATAAGAACTTACCTACTTTAGTCTCTGTCTCCTCTACTTTTTCACTATACAATTTTGTTTCTTTAATTTGTTTCTTTCTCCCCTGTTCCTGGACCAAAAAAATATAGAAGAAAACTGGACAGAAACAAAACCCTGATGTGATGTCGACAAAAACTAAAACCCTTAATGGATGAAACATTTTAATCTGTACATGGAAAGACAAAGCTTGTCGTAAGTTTGCTTATGTCAAAACTTCCTTTTGCTTATTTAAAAACATGTTATCTCTAGAATAAGAAAAACTTTTAGTTTGCTTGAATATACAAAACTTCTAGATTTGATGATAATAATTGAGAGATATGATTATGAACTAACAGTAACAATTTTGTTGGTTATACATTTGTTTTAAAATGAAAAGAAAGGAACTCAAAAGACTAAAAATAAATAAATTACAATAATAGAACTTAAATTAACAATAAGTAAAACTTATTCATGGTATAAGAGATTTATTTTAAGACATGTGCACAATTACTTAAATGACTCGTCCATATCAACAACCCTGATTAAATAATAAACGCTGTTTATATGTGATTATATAATCGCTTCTATTTGATGAAATTACAAAAATAGTGGACCTTAACTAATCAAAGTCAAGTCCAGTGAATTTATTTAAACAGACAAAGATCTCTCAACACCGCTTTATATTGCATATTTATTTATTTATTTATCAACGAAGAGGTTTTATTACCTCAGATTCCATATTTAATTTTCTATTGTTAAAAAGGAAGGACCACTTGATATTTCTTATTTTATTATGTCAGTGAAGTAGTACCGTTACCATACTTGCATGTTAGGAGATGTTGCCACCTTGTATTGCATCTTTATTTTTTTGTTCTAAATGAATAAAAAATTAACCACCTAGCATTGGATCTTTAATTTTCCATTGGTGAAGAGGTTTCGTCACCTTGCATTGCATGTTTAATATGTTATTCCTCAAGAGGTTCTGCCATCATTGCATTTTATTTTTATTTTTTTGTCGGCAAAAAGTTCCACTACTTTGCATAGCATATTTAATTTTCTATCGGCAAAGAAATTCAGCCACCGTTGTTTTGCATTTTAATTTTCTGTTAGTGAAGAGATTTTGCCACCTTGCATTGTATCTTTATTTATTTATTTATTTATTTATTTAGGGCAAAGAGGTTTTCACTACCTTGCATTCCATTTTTATTTTTCTATTGGCAAAGTGGAACAATGGTTTGAGATTGTGAAAAAAGCCACCGTTATGCAACTTGAACAAAATAATTTTCAGAGCAAGTTGGTTTCCAAAACAAAGCAATTCGGAACTTGATCAAGCAAAGTAACCTGACATTACAATAACACCATTGCACGTATCCTTGTAATATATTTTATTTATTTTGTATTTGCTAGGATTTCATTTAAATGTATAATGATTTCTTTATTTGTGTTTAGTGTTATTTATTTTTATCCACTCCATTACAATGTTGTGTTTTAGCTATCCAAAAGAATGCAAGAAATGTTTACTTTAATGTGTCCTGATATGCAGTCTGTTTTTCGGAATTTTATATAGGCTCTGAAAGCTGCCTCTTTTATGTTGCATCAAACAAAATTTGATTACTCCGTTTTCTTAAATGATTTCTGCCTTATTCTTTTAATTTTTAATGATTTTGATGGCTGTTTTTTCCCACCATTTTCTTTATTTATTGGATTGAATAAAATAGCATTGTAACTCTGCCTAAGTAAATTATGAAACTGTTCTGTTGATACCTTTAGCAATTTTTTTCCAAGTTTCAAATGAATTGTGCATTCTGAGTTGAACCCAGGTCATTTCTCCTTGTCAAAGGTTCCCTAAAAAAACTGATTGATTTTGGAATAGCCAAAGCAATATAATGAGCAACACAACAATGGGATTCAAAGATATCACACATTTTCCTCTTTTTTTCTTCATTTCGATTCTCTTGCACATAAAGAGATGGGTGTCTTTCATATTTTGTGGATGTGGCTTTGTGCTGCTATTTACCTTAGGTTACTCACTGAATTTATCGTCCAAATTTAGATTTGGAAGTGCAGTAAAGCCAGACTAATTGTATGATTGATCACAAACTGTATTTGTGCCTGTAGCTCTTGCATTTTTCATTTGTTATTGAAGTGCATATTTGTAACACACAAACTGTATTATTAAGTGTTATTTAATTCATAGACTGTAATCAAACTCTAAAATATCTTAAAAGTTGTCTAAATAGGTGATGTTTATTTTCCTAAGCTTTTAATCTATCAATTGTCTCATAAAATGTTAAATTTTCTTTCAACTACTGTAGGTTGGTACTAAGTTGTGTCACCAGAGGCATTTATGTGCAATATTGAAAGTGATGAGAAAGGAAAAAAAATAATCATAAAGTGGTTGGCCATCAGATATCTGGTCTCTGGGCTGCATCCTTTAACAAATGCCCTTTTCAGAGTACAAGACATTTGGGGCAACCACAAAAGTTAATCCAAACACTTTTTTTTTTTTTCAACGTACTTGTAACTAAGGTATAGCTTTTTTGTCATGACATTTTTCATAGGATCATAGGACAACAGTTTTTTGGGTTATTATTGTGTGCATTCGTCATTTTTCGGAGGTGTTATGTGTGTAAATTTGGGAAATATTCGAATGGATGGTTTGTCAAATGAATGTATGAAACATTGAGGTTAGGGTAAAAACTGTAACATTAAAAAAATGACGCGTGAAGTTTAGGTTTAGGGGAGGTGAATGTGGTTTGCAATGTTTGAATATTGTAAAATTGAAAGTGGCGAAGTTGAGTCATTTTGACAAGGACTAGCCATCTGATTAAGGTAATACATGTGCCTTCCTACCTGCCTAAAGTGGTGCATTAGGCGTTTGAGCTAGCCTCTTGCTCAATTCTATAGGGGTATTCATGATTGAGTTAAATGAGTATATGCATATACTCACAGTTTTTTATAATTCTTTATTAAAAAGAATATTTTTTAAAAAAAAATTATCATCAACCATTCACATAATACTAAAAATATAATTAAAACATAACATTAGAATTATTAATCTTAGGATTATATTTTTTATTATGATTTTATAATTTTATCTATATACGAATATATGTGGATACGATTATCTCACTATTCAAACCCACCTCATTTAATTAATGGGTATAAAAAAACTCGTTTATTACACTATCGAGTACCTGTTTAAAAGCTTAAACTCAAACCACGATGCATGTTACTTTAGCTGCGAGGTTTTTTCACCGTCACACCCTTTATCTTGTTTGTGTTTGTGTGTGTTACTGTAATAATATTCCTATTTTACATTATAGCATCTCTTTTTTACACACATATAGAATTTATCTTATAAGAAAAACTTTAATATAAAAGAAATTAAAATAAGTCATGTAAGTTTTTCAGAAAATTATATGACTGTTTCAGGTAATTGTGTGATTTTATAAATATTTTAATGTTGATGGTACATGTATAGCTCAAAGTCATTAGATATATTTTCTTTCCCTGAGAGTTTAATTTTTATGTACTATAATTTTTTACACTCTGTCAATTAAAATACACTGTAAATATAAATTTTAAATTAATTATTACAAAATTATTAATTCTTGTTGATATGACAATTTATGATTGGGTGATAATATAAAAATACAGTGTTAGTGTTTTAAAATTAAATTATATACATATGACATAAAATACATAATTTTAATTTTTTATTGTCACCTTCCTGGGTGACAAATTTTTTTTCAAAGTATTTAATACAATTACCTACCGTGAAACTTAAACTTGAAATAAAAAATTAAACTCGAATAACCTGTACTAGTTAATCAATGTGATCCG